GAATCCGACCTATACTGACTTGATCGTCGGAGTGCTCACCTTTTTGTGCAGGTCCGCCCAAGTATTCAGATCGGTCCGGAGGCCGAGTTCGAGCTACAATCAGAAATACACTGTTGTGCATATCCTTGCATAAACAGATTTAAGGGAAAAAAAGTTTGAAATTATACCTACAAAGAACAGTAGAGAGACACGACAGTGACGACGATGGTGACAAATAAGCATGGGCACCTTGTGATTTCTAGATGACTATATTACTTTTAAAAAATTACAACAAAACAATTAAGAATTTTACCTCAAAGGAAGAAGAGTGGCAGTGGACAGATGATCACGATGGACCAACAAAGAGAGGAGGAGAAGTGGATGGAAGGAGAGAGGAGAAGAGTGGAGGGAGGGAGAAAGAGCGGATGGAAGGGAGAGGGCATGGTGACCGCAAAGGGAGGGAGAGGGAGAAAGGAAAAAGATGCAAAAATGTAAGGGAAAGGGATTGGGCTAGGTTTAATCGTGACCTATGTCGACGAAATAATTTTCATCGCCAAAGCCCCTAATTTCGTCCGCTTAATTCTCATTTAAAAAGTTTGGCGGTAAAATTCTCATTTTTTTTAAATTTTTGGAAACGAAAATTACATTTTGTCGCCAAAATTCACCTATGGCGATGAAATATAGCTTTCGTCGCCATAAGCTTTATCACGTTAATTTTCACTAAAAATTTGGCGATTAAATTCCCGCTCATTTCACAAAACTTTTAGCGACGAAATGTAATTTTTGTCGCCAAAAGTACTCTATGGCGACGAAATTTAACTTTAGTCGCCAGAAGTTTTGAATAAAAAAATTTCATTTCATTCGAAACTTTTGGCGATGAAATTTTAATTTGTCACCTTAAGATATTTTTGGCAACGACGTCGTCGCCAAAAATACCCTATGGCGACGAAATTTCTATTCGTCGCCATAAAATAAAATTCTTGTAGTGCTACCTTCTTATGAAAGCAACCACACCATTTGTCATGCAGAGAATAATTGATTTGTCCTCCACCCTAGGACATGTACTGCACTGCGTCGCTCTCTATTAAAGCATGGTGAATGAGTCGCCACTACCGTTCCCTCTCTCGATCACGCCCCTAGCATACAAGTTTAAAGCAACATCATTTTGCGACCTCGACTACAACTGTTATGCCCTCTGTCTTCTCTGTAATTACGACTTCTACTATGCACTTTGGTTAAGTATAGTGAGAACGAAAATCTCACTTTCTCGCAAGTTTTTTTAGTGCTCTCCCCTTTGTATTTTGTATTCATCTCACCCAGTACTATGTATATATATCTCTCTCGAAAAGATGACGAAGATGAAAGAGTTTTTAGAAGTTAAATGGAATAAAGATAATGGAGCATTAATGATCTTCTAATTATAGTCTTGATTTATAGTATACGGCAAAATTGAAATTAGGAAACACTAAAAGGTATTATATGGCATAAATGAAGGGAGAGGGGAATTTAGAGGGGGTGGGATCGTGAGGGAGAGAAGAGAGAAATGGAGAGAGAGAAAATTTGTATTTAAATTACACAATTACAATCAAGAGAATAGTGAAAAGAGTTAAAATGAGAGGGTAAAAATGAAACACAAAGTTTCTCCTAGTGGTTTTTTAAATTATAAGTAGATTTCAAAAATTAAAAAAAAAGTTATTCTTTCAAAAGTATTTTTTTTCTCTTCAACGTAGCTTTCTATCTAAAAAAACTATATCTCCCAATTTAAAATATGCATAGTCCATTTTGAGACCCCATTCATTACGATTGATAACCATTTCTGTTTTTTATTTCTATTGTTTTTAGTTTTTAGTTTCTGTTTTTAAAAAACAAAAACTAATATGTTTCATAACTATTTTTGTTTTTGTTTTTAGAAAATAGAAAACCAAACATGTTTGGTAACCATTTTTAATTTTATGTTTTTAAAAAGTTAGAAATTTGAAAATATATATTAAAGAGAGAAAATTCTATGTAAATAGAGATGAGTGAGGATGCTCTTCTCCATTTTCGTGCTAGTGAAAATTTTTAATCATCGTCTCCACCTCGTTTTTCGGTTCGAAAGACGTTCTCGAGAAACATTATCGGTTTTATAATTGTTTTTAATTATTTTTAGAATTTAAGTATAAAAAAGTGTAATAAATATATATTAATTATTTAAAAAAGAAGAGGGGACGGGGTCGGGACATGCATTTCCTATTTTTGGGCCGGTCGAAATTTTTGTCACCCCTAATGTAGATACATAAAAATACAATTTTAGGGAGATGTAAATAAATTTTTGGAAGATAAATTTTAGAAAGATAAATAAAAAGATTTAGAAAAGAAAATTAGTGAAATAAAAGTTAAAGTCAAAAAGATAAAAATTATAGAGAAAGAGAAGTAAAGTAAAGAGGAAAAGATATGTTAAAGAAAAAAAATTAGAAAGAAAGAAAAATGATAGTGAAAACAAATTTATAAATAAAAACAAGATTCAAAA